TGGTAGCTAGCATGAAAAGGCGTACAGCTGCACTTATAGAGTCAGATGGTGACTATACAATGTATTAATTTTAGTTAATTGGTTATGTATTTTTAAATAAAAAAAAAATTTTAAATTTACTTACTTGTAGCCGGAGTTAGAGGCGATCGGATACTTATGACTACTACTGTATATATTTTCGAATATTTAAATTTTATTTATTTATAAACAAATATTTAAATATACTATTTTCAAATGGAAACTTTAAATAGAACAATAAAATATCATTTTAAAGAACAATAAATATCATTCAATTAAATGATAAAAGTATCATTCTAAATGAACAATAAAAGAATTGTTCAATCAGAAAATTAAAATATCATTCTAAATGAATAATAAATAAATTATTCTTATGAATATGTTATTACTTAATTTTTTTCAATTTCAGTTTTTATAATTAAATTTAGATAAATTTAACCTGACATAACTCTATCAATATTGAAGTTATTAAAATTCTAATCCAAAATTCTTAAAGTGCAGATCATTGTTTATTTATTTTGTGGATTAAATTTTCAATTTTATACATAAAAAATTTTTTTTTTACATTTTAAATTATTCAATTTTTACTATAATGAAGTTCCTATTATAAAGGTTCTGCACTGTAGATTGAATTTTTATGTATTTTAAATTTGAACGATTATTACAATATTTATGAAGTCCATTATTCTACAACAATATCTCTTCATTATATTTCTCTTATGGTTATTATTATTATTAATATACTACAAATTTTCGCAATTAAACAAATTATTAATGAAAATTTTTATATTCATAATCCTTTATAATTAATATTAACGCTTTATATGATATCTTAACCTACTAATATATATCACATTTTAGTTTTAATTATACTAATTAATATTTATTTTAGTATGATATTTTAGATATAATAAAAATAAATCAAATTGACTTAGAAGATTGATTAATAGTTCATATAAATAATCTTCAAATTAATTATAAAAAAATTCAACACTCTATAAAATATGTTAAACTTGTTGAGTTAATTCTATTAGATCTTAAATCAACTAAGTAATATCTTGAGATACTTCAGATTTTATTCAATATTACTCCTATTAAAAATTATTTACAACAAAATATAATTCTAGTTTCTGCAATTTTTTCAGAATAAGTATTTATATGATCTACTATTATTCAAAAATTAAAAAGAAATAATAATATACCTTATAAAATCTTAGAAATTATTTCAATATTAGACCCCCTTTATATTTTTTTGAATAGCTGTGAAATTTTTGTTATAAAATATTGGTTATTTTTTGATAAACTTTGGAAAGTAATAATGAGATAACAAAAAAAACTAACTATCAAACTTAAACCTTGATGAATTAATTTCACCTATCCTACTTGAATCTTAATTAAAACTAAAGTAATTCAAAAATTTTAAACTTCAAAGAATTTAGAGTATTGTACTTTATTGATTTTTAGATAATCTTATTCGTTTAATACTTGAAATGTATACAAATATTTTTTGCGAAGGATTTTTTGATTATTATATTAATCTATATTTTGTATATGATGTTTTTTCAAAGAATGAGACATAAAAATTATGATAAAGCTCCTTTAATTTTTCTTTCAGATATTATTTATTAGGAAATTATTGATCATCCTATTTTTAAATGTATGCGAAATAATCTTCCATTTTTTAATGAATATTTTGTAAAAAATTTTCATTCTAGTTTATAAAGACAAACATCACACAAAATATTAAACTATGAAGGACTTCAAAAAATGCATTTGTTGTAGATGTCTTACAAAGAGAAAATAATTTTAATATTATTTATGTTTAAAAAAAAAATAATATTCTTAGAAAGACAAAAAATTATAAAATTTGATTTTCCTTACAGCAGATTTTTTATTAGATTTTTTTACTTACTTATATAGTAATCAAGACAAAAGTTATATTATTAAATATAACAAAAAAAGATGATTAAAATATCCACAGTATTTTTTGGTTACATTAAATACAAAAGTAAATGTAATGCTTCTTCTAACTGAATATAATTCAGATTAACCTTCTTCTGAAAAATTTTATAATTATAATCAATGTACAATTGTATTGGAAACTAAAAATTTGCAACAGGTTAACAGTTTTTAATTTGTGGTCATGCATATCATAATGATTAAAATTTTTAAATTTTTTATGTTTACATTGTACACATATTTTAATGATAAAAAACTTTCACAAAATTTTATAGATAGATTATCAAAAAGAGTATTGGAGGATTCAGATGAGAATAATGATATGTTTGAAATAGATGAATTAGATGATAATATTTTAGCACAAGAGAAATTCTTTCGTTCTTTATCTTTGTTTTGATTTTTTTTTTAAAAAAAATTAATGATCGTCAATGATCGTCAAACAGTTACTAAATTAGGAATGCTTAGTCACCCTAAATTGAATGAATATCTTTTCGATTGTTAAATAAAAAGTCGATTCTCTTTTTATGAAATTGTCATTTAGGTTTTTACCATGGAGAAATTCGAAAAACAAATTGAAAATCAAAAATTTCTCAACCATTTTTAATTAAAAATTCAATATGTCGTCGGCCGTCGATAGAGGAAGAACTTTCGAATTAGAAATCGTTGTAAAGTTGAGAGAAGTTGAGATTGAATGCATGCATACAGGGTGAGTGTTTCTCACTGAGTGGTTTGTCGAGTCGCTGTGTATCTGAAGTTACGCTGCCACTAAGTGTAAAATTTCTGGGAATTGAAAGCGCATCGTGGCCACGGTTTCGGCCGTGAACGTTCTTCCCAGTTTCCGATGTTCCCTATGCTCTTAATACGCTGGGGACTCTTGGTGAATAAGATACTCAAATCAACGAATTGAAAGCTCTTCGTGGCCACAGCTTGCAAAATTTATCATTGCTGTGAACGTTCTTCTTTGATTTTTGGCGATGATGACACAATACTCACATTTATTATATACTTTAATTAGCGGCCGAGGTGATGGTGGTGTTGATATACGTGGGCGTATCGCTGGGATCCCTTACGTGATCCAATGCAAGAATTGGAGGCGTAAAATATGTATGATTTTAATCAAATATAGCACTGATTATGTTGAGCTTGTATTAATTGTTATTATATAAGTTTAGATCCCGACACTATCCGAAATTTAGAAGGGGTGCTCACCCGACAACCAAGCGGGACTATCGGTGTCGTGGTGGCCCCTCTCAAAGGCAGATTCACGCCTGGTGTGATTGAGACATCTAGAACTTCGGTATATGATATTATCCTCACGGATAAGGCGAATATTTGTAAAGATCTTATAGACATTGTCGCTGGTCGACTAAATAGAAATAGATTTAATTTTTCTTGTAAATATTTTTTTATTTCTTTCTTTTCAACTATTTTTTTTCTTGTATATAATTTTCTCTGATTTGTATATATATTTCTGTCTTATCCGTGAGAGTTAATGTTTTACCTCTTGTATAAAATTATATAGATTCTTTTTTTTTTTGTATACTTTAATCAGAATTTCATCTTTAATATGATTATATTTTGATCTTCACGTTCTCTTAATAAAATATTCTGTAACATTATTTGAATTTTTTACTCAGAATTTTATTTATGCAATCTTCTGTAATATAATAGGATTTCAACACCCGATGACATCATCATATTGTTTTAAAATGTACGTAGTATATCCGTGTAACCACTTTGCCGTAACGTTATTTTCTACAGAAAATTTTTTGTTTCTGAATAGATTCTTTGTCTCGAGTCCAGCCACCATAACAAAGTGTTTGGACAATTTGGAAGGGGAAATTTTGACCCTTCTGTGGATAATTTCCAAAAATTCTCTGAAAAAAATATAACAAATCAGTTTGTCTCAGTAGGTTTTCGCGATGCCAAATGGATGTCGGTCAGAAATCAAAACAAAATCGTGCCCCGTCGCCTCAAGCGGTGTGTTTCTACTTGACATTCCATGCTTTAAATACAATTTTATTTAATACTTTCAAACTTATTTAATATTTTAGGCGAAGCGATCTTATACGTATGATGCCATTTTGCGGTCGGTTACAAAATATATATATATAAATAAATTCTCTTTATATACTAATTTAAATAATTCTTTTGATTTTTAAAGAACAGATTAAACATTGACGAAAATTGTTTAATTGATTTGCAAAGATCGCAGGATGATATAATATCTAATATCGGACAGATTTTGGAAAAGGAAAAAAGCAAGCTTGTATTGGTAATTATAACAAATTTACGATTATTAATTACTATTTACTATTAGGTTAATCTGATTATTTTAATACCAGCAAAGAGAGAAAAGCTCAAGTTCGTTGCGACTTTCTCGGTATCATGCTGAAATTGCAGACAAAAGTAAAGCTCTTGAAGAAGGTGTGTTTCATCCTAGTTTATTGTATTATCAATATCTTATTGCGATTGATTGTGTGCGAAACAGTACGAAATAATTTATACACAAAGTTCAAATATAACAATCATGAAGATCGCCGACGTATAACCTCTTTGCGTGAAAATATTCGTTCTCGGCGGGCTGCTTTGGAGGAAGCGAAAAAGCGTTATCAAACTGGGAATGAATATTTGGAGGAAAGCCAAAAGATTTTGGAACGAGATCGGTTTGTTTTGTCATTTTTTGAGATTGGTTTTTGAAATTTTGTTGTTCTTTTTTTATTTTCAGATGGTCGTATTGAATCGGGTTGCTGTTCTTAGCGAATCCCTGTCCTCGACAACTTCCAAACTTTGTGTTCGTCAGAGGGAACTTGTCGCAGACTTGCTCACTATATATCCTATAGATCCTGTAAATTTTTATTTAATAAAGACTTTGATTTTTTAATATAAAAATATATTTACTTAATAAATTCATTTATTATTATAGATAGATGCAAAAACATTCTCTTTTAAAATTCTCGATGTACCATTACCAAATTCAGTATTCACCGGTATTTTGTCAAGAATTTTTATAATTTAAATTTCTTATTAAAAGAATGTGAATTAATATACTTACTTTTTTTTTTTTTGTTTAAAAAAAAAAAACCTATAAAGGTTGTGATGACGAACAAGTTGCTACGGCGTTGGGGTTTACTTGTCATCTCACATATATGCTCGCGTATTATCTCGGTGTTCCAATAAGATTTCCGATGATACCTATGTCCTCAAGATCGACAATACGTGATCCAATATCTGCTTCCTTAGGAGATTCAAGACAGTAAGTTCATAATTGCTCCAAGTTGATTGTTTTACTACAAAATAGTGGAAGTAAAGTTTTTATAAACTATTACTATTACCAACATGAGTAATTAAACGCATGTGTATAAAATATCAGGGGTTTTGGCACCGAATATTTGACATGCAGGATTCCTTTCAAAAGATTGTTGAACTGGATTGTATGTAGCATTATCCATTTGGAAGGATTATTCACTAACAATCAACTTGGAGCGCTGTAATTATCAGAATTTTTGTTATTAAATTATGTTTGCCCTATCATCTTTTAAAGCTAACAATGTTATTTCGTTTTATCAATTATTTTAGATTTCCTTTACATGCCAAAGGAGTTGATCGTTATCGGTTTGAGTATGCAGTCTTTTTACTCAACAAAAATATCGAACAGGTATGAAATTTCTACATAGTAGTTGTTGACAATTTGTCCTATTATTTATTGATTTATTACTTATATATGTTTGTAGTTAATGAACTCGCAAGGTTTAAACGTTCTGGATTTGAGAAACACACTTCCAAATTTAAAGTATCTTATCCTCAGTTTGTCTTCAGGTCAAAGTTCACATTTACGTAAAATTATTCCACATAATTGTGTTATGCCTCGTAATATAAATAACGCAATTGCAAGCACAAGTAACATGGATCATGTATTGGAAGAAGGGGAGAGAGAAGAACATTTACATTCTTTTTCAAAATCACCTAATACTTCAAATTCCATTATATCTATTGACTCCTCAAAGAGATCAAGGAATGTTATTAATACACTACAAAAGAGTACTATCGAATCACATCGAAAAAACTCTCAAGGATTTGAATTAGGAGTAACATAATAATTACTTAATGTTTGCAAATAGCATGGAAGGACATTTTTACTTTATTTAATATTTCTTTTTTAATTTATTTTTTGTCAATCAATTAGGAAGTATAGTATAATTATGTATTATAATTTCTTTGACGTGTATATATGTTTTATTAATAAACATTGAACATGACAATTTTTCGCACGTCAATAAATTTCTTATGTTGCATATATTTTAAAGTTTATGCCAAAATTATGTTTTATTCATAGGCATATTAATAATAAATTTTCAAAGTTATTAATTATATTTCTCTGTTTTTTGGTTAAAGTGCATTCATCATCTCAAAGGCATAAAGTTTTACTTGTCAATAAATTGCTTTTAATCTTTAAATTTATATATATACTAGCTGCTGTTCCGTTGCAACGGTAAATCACGTGACAATATACAGACTTCAAAAAGGAAATTAGATCTTTTAATAAAAATTGGCTTTAAATAGCTTCCGTTGCTGCTAATCACGTGACGTAATACCTAATCCAAAAAAAGAAAACTTAATTTTAAGACTTGACTTTTGAATTTTATTGGAAAACAAAATTTTTTTTGGTTTTGTATAATGTTAGGGGAGGACCAAAATGACGTCATTTAGTAAGGGGGAGGGGATATTCAAATGATAACATTGCACAAATTTTGATTTCCATTTTTAGGGAGAGTCCTGCAACAAGATGACGTTACATGAGAAATTTACCATTTTTGGGGAATCCTGCAACAAAATGACATTTTACAAGAAGTGTACTATTTTAGATAAATCAGTTATTAAAAATTCTGCAATTCTGAAATTTAGCGTTAGAATAGTGGTACAATTTCAAAATTTAGCATAGAATAGTAATACAATTTCAAAATTTAGTATAGAATAGTAGTATAATTTTGAAAATTTTGTAAATTTTATATAAATGCATGTGACTCAGACAAAAGAGGTTTTTTTTTCTTGATTAAAAAAAATATAAAAATATGAAATTATCGCGAATGTAAATTTGCGATAATTACATGTTTGTTTTTATGCGATTGTTTTTCTTTGTTATTTTGCTATTATAATGAAACAAAGTTACTTCAAAGAACCAAAATATTCCAAAAATTATATTATCTAAAATCTCAGAAATCTTTATGAAGAGTTTGTAAATGCTTTTGCATTCTGTAAAATGATAAATACCTATAATGAAACACCAAACAAAAAGAAACTGCAGGAATAAGCTTAAAGTAGCTGGCAAGAAGTAAAATGAAAAAATAAAGACTTTATTCAGAACCATATTTTTGAATTATTACAAACACTAATTCAGCCTTGTTTTCTGACTTTTTTCTCATAACAAAAATTTGTAAAAAATACTTCAAAGTCATCTTTAGAATTTCTAGAACCTTTAGAACCTCTTGAATCTTTAGAACCTTTCCTTATTGATAATCTTCCACTAATCATAGCAGTATAAAGACAATTATATACAAGTCTTCAAAAAAATAAAGCTAATTTATATGAGTACAATAATCTATTAAAAGCAGCCACATCGTCAGAATTACATTTACAATTCGCTTTAAAAATTAAACAGGTTAAGGATAAAATTGTATTTGAAGAAAGAAAGCTCAAGAAGCTAAAGGTAATGCAGAAGTTCAACAATAAGTTCAAAATAAAAAGCGGGAAAAATTGGATAAAGAGAATATTATCGAAATATATGATGCATCAGGTCACCTATCATTCTTGATGAATGATCCTGAGCTCTTAAATAAAATGCACAGTAGTGTCAAGTTTGAAGCTGTAGACCATAAAAGACGCAAAGAAATAATTAAAGTTTAAACTGTTAAATACTTTTGCGAAGAGATGAAAGAGAATTACAATATCTATATAGCAAAGTCTACTTTGCAAAACTATATGCAACCTAAACATTCAGGAATGAAAAAAGTACAACAGTATTATCATTCTGCGCAAATTCATTTTGCATTTGTTGGCAAAAATGAAATGAGTAATCATGTTGACGAAGATTACTGTTTGGCTTCAGTTAAGGATATAAAGTCATTTGCATTAGCTTTTCTTCAAGACGTTATATTGATTTGCAAGATGACAAAGCCAAGGTATTTATTTTAGCTTTTTTCTTTTAATATATGTTTCAAATTTTTAATTTTTAAAGTTTTATAGATTTCTCTTGGTGTGGTCGCAGTTAGAAGAACGTTTAAAATTATACAAATAACAAACGAACCAGTATTAGTTCCTGACCATAATTTTTTAAAGGCTGTAAAACACAAGCTGATACTATCCGTTTACTTAATTATTGACCCTTCTAATACGAATAATTTATTACGTTCTGGTAAAATGAGAATTTTGTTCGTCCAGAATATTTTTTGAGTACATCATGCAAAACACACATGATAGACCTAATATCAATTATAAAAGAAGATTCCTTTCACGAATTTATACACTATGAAGGCTCTATAAAACCATTTTGGTATTTATTGACAGATCGTGAACCAGAAGAAAATCTCAGGTTCTTCGCAAATATTTTGAAATACTTATTACTTTTTAAAAAACTCGACTTAGATTACTTTATAGTTAGAATACACGCCTCAGGGCAGTCTGCATATAATCCAGTTAAGCAGAGTATGATATCGCTTTCTGAAAAGTTAGCAAGAATTGAGTTAGACATATTTGCATATGGTAAATATCTCGAAAGTGTTAATAGAAAAGTAACTGTTGTGAATAAGAAACTTAAACGCTATAACTTCAAACATGCAGGTGAGCGTCTTTGTGAACTTTAGAAGTATGACAATATAAACGGTTACCTAGTTATTATTACATATATCGAAGAGTACAACCGATCAGATTTTTTAAATATAAATGAAGAATCATGGGATTTGATCGATAGGCATAACCAAATCTGTAAGTATTCTCTCAATTTAAAGAAATGTAAAGATCAAAATTATTGTAGACAACCACGTATTTCAGAAATTTATGATTTTTTATCCGCAAACAATAATTTTTTACCACACATTGTACAAGGCCTTGATGGTCATTTTCTAAGTTTAATTCACACTTTGGAATATTTTGAAAAGCTACTAGGCTATGATAAACATTGTTTTAGCATTACTTCAGATTTGTATAATAATCTTGTATGCTAAAAATGCCGTAAATACTTTCTATCAAAAGCATTTTTAAAGTAGCATATTATAATCCATTCAAAAAAGAGAGCAACAAATGTGAGGATTGAAGAATCCAAATATCTACAAGATGATAAATTTTGTATAGAATATATAAAAAATACTTGTACAAAAGAAAATATAAATCATATAAGAAATGATGATTCACAAAGCAAATTATTCTAACAGGAAAAAGTTGCAAAGAAGGGGAAAGAAAAGAGTTCACAACAGCAAAACTCAAAAGTAAAGCCATGAATACAAGACTATCTAACGTTCAAAATTAATAATTAATATTGGTTATAATGTAGTTTTTTAAATAAATTGAGAATAGTCTTAACAAACAATCTTTTTTTTTCCACATAATTTTAATTAATTTCACAATAGTTAAACTTTAGTTTAGTTAATTAAACTTTTCATTTTGTTTTTTTTCTTATAATATTATAATATAGTAGTAATATTAATTAACTATTAATCAGGCTTTACAATTAGTAATCCAGAACCAGTTCAAAATTTGAAACTGATAAATTCAGTTTTATGATTTGAGAAATTAGGTTTTTCATTAAACTAGGACTGTAATATTAGATAAAATTTGATAAATAATTTATTGTAATTAAATTTACATATTTATATTTTATCATTGTATTTTATTTTGCAAAAAAAAAATATGTACTATATCTCAAATAAATCAGTTCCAGTTTGATCTGCATTTGAATATGAAACTGAAAAATCAAATTGTTTAAATTTTGAATGATATCATTTCTGACCCTTCCCTAATTCCAGTCAAAATTATATTATAATTTTATTTCCTAAAATAGAAATGATGACAAAGGGAGGGGTTAAAAATTTTAAAAATTAAATGACATCATTTTTAACTCTCCTCTTATAAACTTTAATCATTATTATTTCTAAATGTGACCATAATACAGAAATATTTTTATAATATAGAATAGATATAGATTATCAAAAATTTTTATATATTATAACTTTAACTAAAGCTCTGAATCAGGTCAAGTCAACCTGTTTATCTGATCTGAACTGACCTAAAAATTCAGGTCAAGTCAATAGATTTTTAGGTTAATATCAAATCAGATCAACAGATCGATCTGACCTAACCTAATCTGATAAAAATTTAGGTCAACTAATCATTCTTCTTGAATAATTTATTATTGTTAAATTATAAATAACAAAGTTGATTAAATAAATTAATAATTGTTTATTATATTATTATTTATATTAAATATTTTTTGATATTATTTAATGAATAAATAAAAAATTTTTTTTTTAAATCAGGTCAGGTCAGGTTAGATAAACCTGACCTGACAGATTAACTAATCAAATTATATATAACTGATATATTAAAATTTATCATTTAAAAAATTTTTTTTTTTAAAAGTGCGGTAGTTTCACATAATTTTTATTAAATTTAAAGTACAAATAATAAGGTTAAAATATACAAATTTAAGAAAATACAAAAATCTTTATTTAAACTAAACTAAATTAAGACTGACCCTGCATTTTTCCAGAATCTATTCCTAACCTAAGCTAAAAATATCATATTCCAGTAACAAACCAAATGAGAAAGAGCTTAGCCATTACAGCATTAAAAATCCAACCAGTGGGATCCGTATTAAATCATTTTGTTAACAGATTTGTTAATGTATGTGAAAAGAGTGGAGCTTGTGACTTGATATCCTATTGCAGCAGTATTTTCTTTCTTTGTTTTTAAGTTGATGTTGTGTGATTTTTTGAATGCAACTTATTGGAAGCACCATTCAACCCATATTGCCTGTGTTTGTTTAAAGAAATGATGCATAAAGGTTGAAAGCGTCACATAGATAAGGTTCTTTAATCCTATAGCA